AAGAAAATCGATAAGCTGGGAGGTTATGGCAAGCATCGTGTGGATGTTTGAACAAAGCAGAGCTACAAGAAAGAACTATTACCCTTCATAACCCCTCTTACGATCCTATGACTTCGCAAAAATAATTACGCTAATTAGAAAATTTTATAGCACAAAGCTTCCTTTGATATCTAACCATGAAGACGTAATTGCGAATTGAATCTGTAGGCTGTGCGTTCTGCTGGCTGGGTAGCAATTGCAGCGCTTCTCCGCCTTCATTAACCAGACCTCCTGAGAAAAACATTGGTGAATCCGATTGCTGTGATTGCTAGCACATAATTTTACACCATTTTATACTTCAAGCTCATATAGCGTACTGGTTAGATGTACTCTGCATTACGCAGATAGCGTTTGGTTCAATCCTATTTCCGAGCGAAACTCACGAAAAACGTCAAATATGCGCTAAACCTTGAAATAAGCGTAAGGATTCCAATGCTTTCATCCTTTAGGGGAAAGCATTAAACTCCTAACAGAAACGCTGACCTGATGATGCCTTCACTTTTGTTTACTGCTTATTGTTTTTTTTTTTATGTCAGAGTACGATGTGAATTACAATCACAAGGATGTTGAGTGAATGAAGAGAAGGGAAGAGGAAGAGATAAAACCGATAAAGTAAAAAAAAACCAGCTGAGAGAGGCAAAGCAACAGCCTCGGTTGGTGTCGTGGACAGCAAGTGTGCTCACGGTGAGAGGCGTTCGAAGCCCAACTGAGATGTAGAGTTTTGCTCATACCTTAGCGTGATTTGGTGAACCGCAAGTTACTGCACAGGCCAGTTATCCATCCATTCACACCTACGATGCTACGACTTGAGTGGAATGCCTCTTGCCTCCTTAAGGAACCGATTAACGTCTAACAAACTAGCTTTTATTTGCACTTTATCATAGCTTACGTGAATCTGTTGTGCGCGTGCGGCACAGTGGTCGGAGACGCCATGCAACGCATACATGGGATCGAACTCCACGCCCGTGGCTCACCAAGCCTTCCATACCTCCGGGGTCGACAAATTGGTATCAGACTTATCTAGGAGGATAGCAGCACTGGCTCGGTACATCGGTGGACCACCGTGAGTCATTGCAAAGGCCAGATATATTTTCAATCACCTCCAAACGATGCTTAATGAGGTCGAATGCATGGCGCGTCCCACAGGACAAGATCAATGCCGAGAGCTTTTTTACACGAATCTACGTGACTAATACTTAAGAGTGTATAGCTCACTTTAATTTTTGTGGATCGCAATCATTCCTCTGAAAAGCCGGTTAGTAAAGTCGTTGTGTTCCTCAGCAAGATATCTCCGTCCGTTTTTAGGAGTAGGTATTAAAGATATGTACCAAACTGTACGTGTTTCGTATAAAATCAATAAACATATAAAAGCCAATGGTACTTCGAAAACTTGAGATATTGAAGCAACTTGCCATAAAATACATAAAATCTAGACTCATTGTAAAATACATTGTAAATACTTAACGTTTGTAGCTCATCTAGCTGTAAGTCGCTGAGAACGTGAGGACACTGGTAGCATACGAAGAAAAACTTTAACTTATATCACTTCAAATCTAATGAATGTGTAGCTAAGTGGATCAAGACACAAGGCCCGCCAATGTGCTTTGAGCATTCGACGATGCTCATTTGCACGGATTTGCTCAACATATACTTACTTACCAATTTAACAAAATCGTCGAAAAACTTCACATTCGCCATTTTCCAAGAACTGGCATCTCTTCGGCGAGACATAGCGTTCTGTGCACTTAGTTAAACGTTCTGTGTTAAGTTAATTAAGAATGTTCGAAACGACGACGATACAGTAACAATCAACAACCATCGAGTTGGCGCTCTCGAATAGATCCGCTCAGACCATCGGAAGCAATGAAATACGAGGACAAAAAGAGTTAAGTACAATGAGTTCTTAGCAAACGCAGAGAAAATGATAAAGAAATGAAAATTGCAACAAAGGAAAAAATGGTCTTCAAATCAAATCATTTCTATTATGCCGTTGAGGGTGAAGAAAAAAGACGACGCTGAAAACTTAAGATCTTGAAAACAAGCTAGCAGCAATTCTAATTTGAAACCTGTTGCAAAATGGATACGAAAAGCATATGAGAAAGATCGCTGAAAGTGGTGCAAGAAACAAGAGCGCTTCTGTGGCTTTTCTTTTCCGTAAAGAAATTTCTTGCGATAAGAAAGGAGTGCGATTTTCCTTCGCTTGAATTCATTTGGAGTTACGCTGATCCACGAACCTATGGGACAGCGTCACATCTCTCAGTAGAAGAAGTGAATCGCTCATAATCTAACATTTAGCGTAAACATACCAAGTTTGAATCATGAGAACTATTGTTAAGCAAGCAACGGCTTGCCCTGACTAGTAGGTTTACGTGATTCAGTGAGTTCCAATGCTATATGACACCGGAAAGAAAAAGCAAAAGAAGAATGGGAGAGGAAAATGCTAACCACGGAACTGACAGAAATAAAGAATACACTCTCGTCTTTTGCAAAACGATTTATCGTTCTACTTAATTCTGGATTAGATTTATGTCCTATGAGCGAAAAGCAGAAAAGCTAGAAGATTAGAAAGGAAAAAGTCTCCGACTGGACGAGCACGAGCGATTTTGCAGTAGATATAAAGCAAAAAAAAGCCACTATTATGAGAAACGGGTGAATCAGTGCAAACATTTCGATGACGAAGTGGGAACAAAGCATGGTAGACTTGTGTAGACTCCCGACAAGCATTATCTGGCATAGGAAACAAACATCCGATTGCAGTAGAAACATAGGAAAACTGAAAAAAAATGAAAACAAAAAGAGAGGAGTTTCGTCATAGATGGTATCGAATCGAAATTATCACGCGCTAAGATTGTGATTCCAATAACTGCCATGGTAAGGAAACAGTACTTCACAAAAAGTTAAGAATAACGATTTTTGACTAAGCTTTTTCTTCTGCGCATTCTTCTTCCCAAATTTATCCTGTCATTTCTCTTCCAGAATATTCGGCTGACAATCCAAGAAAATCTAAGCGAAGCAAATCTAGGAGATTCTAAGGGAATCCCACGATATTGAATCGAAAAAACGCAAATTTTAGGCCAAAGAAAAATTGTCGGATGCGACAATTTCCAGGAGACGAAATGCTTAGCGGTCTAGTTTGGCCAAGAAGCACATGAAAGAAATGTGCAAGAAAAAGGCGAAAATCCATCAAAGCGATGGCCGCCTAGAAGCAGTTACTATGTGTGGTGCATTTGTCTTTTGGGAACTGGCAATCATGGTGCTTTAACATTGGAAACATTCTATGGCTTTTATTTATCTACTCATAATTGAACTGTTCATACCCGGCTCAAATCCTGCTGCACGTTTATAAAAATAAACCATCTTCAAAATTGGCAGTAGCAAGGAAAGGCAGTAGATAACAAATTACACTTAAAAAATTATTGCACTACAAGCATCTGTGCAATAAAACCTACGTTTCACGATGAAAAGGCACATGGAGCGCAGTGGTCGGTGGTGCCCTACAACACACACGTGGAATCGATCCCCGCGCAAATGGCCCACCAAGCCTTCTATCCCTTCGGGGTCTGCAAATTGCTACCAGACGTCTGAGAGAATAGGAGTACTGGCTCCTACATCATCGGTAGGCCACCGCGAGTTATTGTAAAGACCAGATTCCATCCAGTCACCTCAAAAAGATTGTTAATGAAGTCGAATGCATGGCGCATCACTTCAGGGACGGATCAGCTCCGAGAGCTTTATTTTATCTTTCATGTTTCATGAATTGAATGCGGCAAGACGACTCTCTATTGAAACTCGTCAAAAGCGCACGTTTAAATCTATATTATCCAATTGCTACAAGAATTATTTGCAGAATGACGAAAGGAAAACAATAGGATTCCACAGCTAAGAGGTAGCACGGAAATAAATATGAACTTTCTGCCAAAAAGAAGCTCCCTTTCTTACTCTAGTTTCGGGATAATTTTTAGCTTTAAGAAGGCACTTTCTTGGTTTTAAATTTGATATTGGATGCGGACAGTACTGGAATACTAAGAGCAACGAGAAAAAACTGCAAATCGTTCACTTTCGAGTGCAAAATTACTCTCGAAAGTTCCGAATACATCGAAGGGAGACCTTGGAAGTTCAGTCAGACGGTAGGTGAAACATTCTCACCACACTGCCGCTGCAGCTGGAATAGAACGAACGCGATAGCTACCGATCGAACCATCGCCGTTATGGACGACTGAGCGAATACGTTTCGTTCTAAAATCGAAAGGCGATAAGAATTCTAAATATACATTAGAGGCGCCGTCAAACAATAGCGTTGGTCAGATTCCGTTTCGAAGTAGTGTTTACCACAGCTAGATGATGATGGCTGCTCTATTGACAGAACAATGACTAAATACTAAGCACCCATTAACTCATAGAAAATAGGCAGTGTCATGTACTATTATCATCGCTCTCATAGAAGACGAGCGCATGTAGCGCAATGGTTGGTGGTGCCCTGCAATGTACATGTGGTTCTTGGTTCAATCCCATGCGTAAAGCCACTTAAGCTACCCATCCTTCCGGTGTCAAATTAAGATTCAAAAGTTATTCCATAGGTCATATATGCATTTGTACAATGTACAAACAAATGAGTGACACGTCCTCGGAGACTGATCAATGCTGAACAGTCTCGGTTGAAACTAATGGGAATGGATTTCCACTACCTTCAAAAAATTGAAATCGTTAGGAAACAATCTTACAACTACCCTTTTGTTTTGCAGTAAACAATACCAACGTCGGAGAAAAAATAGGATAGAACAGTAATCTGACGCAAAGTGGTTCACCACCCCTGCCTCGCCTTCTACTTCAATCTATCTCTAATCAATCCAGTCTTTTCACAGCTTCATGGTGATGAATTGTTTTAGAACAGATAAATGATTCATCTACCATCTATATATATATATATATATATATATATATATATATATATAACACCTGTATCATCTGTAGTCTCGTTGATCGTCGAGTAACTCGAGCGCGCGCCAGTAAATCTTCCATTTTTCCGCATAGCGTGCAAGAGTAGCCCAGTGGACCCTGCACGCTCTACGGAGCCGTCGAGCATCATATCTTTCTTCTAGGCTTTTCGTGAAAAACTCTGACCATCGAGTCGGTAGTCCACCTGTAGTGCGCTTAACATTCCGAGGAATCCAGTCACTAACAGCTGTTGTCCATCGGTTGTCATTCATACGCACTACGAGTCCGGCCCACCTTATCTTCGACTGTTTGGCGTACAGAACAGCATCCTTCATTTTTGATCGTTGACGCAGGTTGGAGTTTTGGATCTCTTCCCTTACCTGTGAAACGGGATACCCCTAGCATCGTCTTTTCGAGTACGCATTCGATAACGCTTAGTGATCCTTTGTCCTGCTTACGCAACGACCAGGTTTTTGCCGCATACGTTAGGGCAGCAAGTACCGTTGAGTCGCAAAGGTAGGCACGGAGTTTGGTGCTCTCTGTTCTCTCCACTACATTCTCGATACCCTTGAAAGCTCCGCAAGCCGCTCCTTTGCTTCTGGTCAGCTCTAGAGCTAGGTCGTTCAACATATTAATTTCCCAACCTATATAGATATAACTGGAGCATTCAGAGATATTCGTTCCGTTGAGCGTGAACGGGGCATGCGAAACCAATCCGTTTTTCATGAACATCGTTTTTGTGAGATTTAGTCGTAACTGCCGACCATCGATTTTCACTCCCATATCATCCCATTCCAATGTTCGCTTGACGTTCTGGAGAGTGGCGGTAAATAATTTTGGCGAGATGGTATCGCCTTGCCTAACTCCTCTTTTAACGTCAATGTTAATACCACTGTAGAATGGTGACATTTTGGTTGTGAAATTTCTGTACAGCTCACGAAGAATTTTTACGTACTGAGTAGGGACTCCTTGACTATCAAGGGCTTGCAAGACTGCTCCTCTCTCAACTGAAACAAAGGCCTTCTGTAAATCGATGAAAGTGAGGGAGAGCAGTCTTATGTACACTCGCGATACTTCAATGAACCTTGTTACTGTGTGGATGTGCTCCAACGTACTAAATCCTTTTCGAAACCTAGTTCGCTCACATGGCTGTCTTTCATCTTGTGTTCTGTCAATCCTGTTTAATATGACTCGAGTAAAAAGTTTGTAGACGACAGACAGTAAGCAGATTGGGCGGTAATTGCCAATACCGTGTAGGCCACTTCTTGAACAATAACATAGTCTTGATGGTCTTCCACTGAGTAGGGACCTTGCATTCAGACAGGTAACGTGTGAGGAGCCGAGCCATTGTGTTTACGAGGACTGTCGGAAGGTTCTTCAGGTGTTCTGGTCTTACCCTGTCCGGACCTGGTGCTGTTCGTTTTTTCACTGACAAAATGGGAAGTCGGATTTCGGAAGGGAGAACCGGCGGTACAACATATCCATTTTCCTTTATTTGATATAACGGAAGGTGGACGTGGCTATCGAAGTGGTCCGAGTATTTTTCATGAATGATTTTCTCTATCGCCCTTCTAGACGTTTAAACTGTTCCGTCTGGACGCCGGAGTGCAATCATTTTGGTCTTGTAATTGGCAAAGCTTCGGTGGGCTTTGCGAATGCTTTTCCCAGCCTCTGTAGCCTCGGCCACTACTGTTCCTCTTCTCTCTTTAAGATATTCTTTTATCGCCTGCCTGCATTGCTTTTGCCTGCAAATTCAGACGTTAGTTCGCGATTGCCTGCAGCTCGTGCGAATCCACGTTGGAGAATCACCTCGAGTGTTTCTGGAGACAGACGTCTCTTGGTGACTTTCGAACTCAGAGCTTTCGTAGCGCTAACGTGAAGATGTTGAATGAGCCGATCGTTTTCTTCGTCGATGTTATCGACAACGGCATCTTCCCAATAGCCGACTAATGAATTGAATAAGTCCCAATTTGCGGTGGTTCTGAGACTTCGGTTTTGAAATTTAGCGTCTTTTTCTCCTTTCCGCGAAAAATAGAATCTTGCCCGAAGGAGACGGTGGTCTGATCCCGTGGAGAATTTTGGGACCAGAGCGACATCGGTTCGGCAAAACCTTCTATTCACTATGATGTGGTCTATTTCGTTATGGTGCTCTCCACTGAGAGACTCCCACGTCCAGCCCTGACGGCGGGGCTTCTGGAATTGCGAGTTACTATGGATGGTCTTGGTCGTTATAATAAACTCATACAGCCGCTCACCCTGTTCGTTCCATTCTAATCCGCGGATCCCAATGTGACGTTCTTCTTGGTCCAATCTTGGCGTTGAAATCTCCAATGGTGACTTTGAAGAATGTGTGGTATTCTCTGTAGAACTTCTCCAAGTCTATATAGAACGCCTCCACATCTTCTTCGTCGTAGTTTGACGTCGGCTCGTAAACGACGAAGATTGTCAAGGCCGAAATTGATCCACGTCTTTTTAATCGTAAACGTCCGATTCGGGTTGGAAGTTGTGCGAATGAATCGATGTTCACGGACAAACTCGTGTTGACGAGAACGCCGACGCATCCGGCTCCTCTACTGTCGTATGTTCTGGGGAACAGCTCTTCTTCGGTGTCATAGACGGCGTTGAAAGGCTGGCGTCTTCTCGTCTTGGCCAGACTGATGACGTCGCATTTTATCCTTCTTGCTTGCATAAGTAAGACTTCTATAGAGGACTCGGATGCAAGTGTACGTGCATTGTAGGTACAGATCGTCACGTTGTGGTTGTATTTCGCTTAGTAACCTGCCATGAAAATTATAGAAGGCAGAAAACAAAACGTTAAACATTGTGATTTCAACTACAGCCATAGCTTAACTGGGTTCTATGCCGATTTGCGCTCCCCAGATCAACCCCGCTGACGGGTGATTGCTGTGGCAAAAAAGATCGATAGAAATAGCTGAGAGACGTGCGAAACAAAGGACCCGCATGGTGTGGTGGTGAACGCGTTACTCCCCGGAAAGGATAATAGCGCGCTCGTTCCCCACCATAGACACCTGCGGTCCAGAGTTTTGCAAATATCTCAGCAACGTTGTGGTTGTATTTCGCTTAGTAACCTGCCATGAAAATTATAGAAGGCAGAAAACAAAACGTTAAACATTGTGATTTCAACTACAGCCATAGCTTAACTGGGTTCTATGCCGATTTGCGCTCCCCAGATCAACCCCGCTGACGGGTGATTGCTGTGGCAAAAAAGATCGATAGAAATAGCTGAGAGACGTGCGAAACAAAGGACCCGCATGGTGTGGTGGTGAACGCGTTACTCCCCGGAAAGGATAATAGCGCGCTCGTTCCCCACCATAGACACCTGCGGTCCAGAGTTTTGCAAATATCTCAGCAACGTTGTGGTTGTATTTCGCTTAGTAACCTGCCATGAAAATTATAGAAGGCAGAAAACAAAACGTTAAAC